CGGCCGCGCCTGTGCTGCCTGGTGCGCGGCGAGCACGGCTACGGCTTCCACCTGCACGGCGAGAAGGGTCGCCGCGGGCAGTTCATCCGGCGCGTGGAGCCCGGCTCCCCGGCCGAGGCGGCCGCGCTGCGCGCCGGAGACCGCCTGGTTGAGGTCAACGGCGTCAACGTGGAGGGCGAGACGCACCACCAGGTGGGTGCCCGCGCCCCGCCCGCCGGGCCCTCCCCGGGGAGCGCGTCCCTGCCCCGCGCGCGCAGGGGGCGCTGAGGACCACCGGGCTCGGCGCCGCCTGCTTCCAGGCCTCGGCTCCCTGCCCGGGGCCGGGAGGGGGTTGCACAAGGGCCTGCGTGAGCTCCCCCGGGGAGGTGGGGGACGTGGCCACGGAGGCAGCGGCCGCCGGCCTCCTTCCTAGCCTCCCCCCCCAGGAAGCTCAGCCCTGCACCGCGGAGAGCGGGGGGAGATCCTGGCAGGGAGGGGCCCGCACTGCGGCTCTTGGGTCCTTGGCCCTAGTTTAGTCTTGTTTTGGACTCCCTGTGCCATGTGTGGAGGTGTCGGTCACCTTAGGGGGGTCTCCATGCAAGTGGGTACCCTGGGTGCTTTTCTTTGAGTGTGTACACATGCGCGTGTGTACACAGACAATGTGTGTGAGTGTGCAGGTCCCTCTGGGGATCACCAGGTGTGCATACATTTACCTGTGTGTACCTGGGAGGTGTCACAGTAAGGGCACACCTGTGTGTGCCTGTATCAGTGAGTGTGTATGTGTATGTGTGTGCTGGACTGTGTGGGTGAATAGACAGGTCTTCACCCCTAGATGTGTGTGGATAGATCTGCATGCCTGGACGTGTGTGAGAGCTGGGCTCTGTGTATGTGTTGGACTGTATGTATCAATATACAGGTCTGCATGCCTGGATGTGTGAGTGTGGATAGAGCTGCATGCCTGGATGTGTGTGTGAGCTGGGCTGTGTGTGTGTGTGTCTGCCGGCCTGGCTGTGTGTAGTCATCAGTGTATGTTGGCAGGCCAGTGCCCTAGTGTGTGTCCTGGCTGATGGTGTCTGGGTCCCAGTAGGAGTCGCTACTGCTGGCAGCACATTCCTCTCTGTGGAGGCTGCTGGCCCTGCAGGGGTCACTGGCCGCAGACCCTGCCCCCTGCAGCTGGAGATGAAGGCCAGAGGGAGGGCAGGGTGTCCTCTCTGCAGGTTCTGACCCCTGGAGGGGGTCCATCTCCACTGGCCAGGGGCTCACCTGGCTTGGGTCCAGCCTCCCTCCCCCCTTCTGCTCCAGGGTCCTCTGTGTCCCCCCAGCACTATGAGTTTCTGACCCGCCTGTGTGGCCAGCCCTGGGGCCTAGAGATGAGTTCTTCTCTGGTTCTTCACTGGGCCTGGAGCTGAGCTCCCACTCTACCCTTGGGGCCCTTGTCTATCCATTTGTTTTTGCGGTACTTCTGTCTTCCAGCCAGAGTGTCAACTGGATGAAGCTGTTTGCTGAAGGAGGATAGGGGTCAGGGCCAGAGGATTTGGCCTGACAGGCCGCGGGGAGGGGCTGGCAGAGCTGGTGCCTGGCCTCTGCGTAGCAGTCACTGTAACCCTGCCCCAAGAGCGCCTGCTTATCCCAGGCTTCTGGGTGCTGGTCTCCAGGAACTTCACACACAGGACCACGTGGGTCGCTCCCACTGCCCCAGGAAGGAGGAGATGCAGTTACGGCTCCCATTTTGCAGATGAGGAAACTGATGCTTGGAGATAGTGGGTGACTTGTCTGGGTCCCACAGTCAGGAGGCAGCAGGGTGCTTGGGTCCTCCTGTGGCTCTGTGGGTCACAGGAAGAGAGGAAGGACAGGAGGGGCGGGGGTGGGGGGAAGGTGAGCCTGGTCTAGACCCTCCTATCTGTTGACAACTTCTGCCAAGTAGCTGATGGGGGTCCAGTCTGCCGTCCTCCAGGCCTTGGGGTGGGGGTGTTGCCCTTCCTACCCCAAAGCCCAGTGGGCACTGCCCCTTCTCCCTGCAGGGCACGCACTGGCATGCATGCTCCATGGCACCCACATGCACCTGCAGAGACACACAGATGTCCATAATGCCACACTCGTCCTACAGGTGGACCTGCCCCTCCCTGCCTCACCTGCTGGGTCTGAATCCTGCTTACTGAGTTGTGTGTCGGTGCCCACGGAGGTGCCTTGCGGAAGGCCTAGAGGCAGGGGTTTAGACTTCCTTGCTCCACCACTGAGAAGGACAGAATTGGGCACAGACACTCAGACTGGGACCCAGGGAGACAGTTCTCTCCCTCCAACCCAGACCAAGAGAGACCCTGAAACAGATGGATGTACGCCTGCACACAGACGCGCGCGCACACACCCACACACGCACACTGAAAACCTGAAGCTTGGCCGTGCACCATCTTTGTCACTTCCAGACCACTGCCTCCCCCAGCTTCCTGGTCTCTCCTGGAGAAGACCCTGGGCTGAGGCGACGACCCTGCAGCCCTGGCAGCCTGGGCCCCAGTGTCAGGAGCTCTGGGAGAGGAGGGAGGGAGCGGCTGGAGCCCAGGGGTGGGGGGTGGAGCCGGCGGGCCTCTCGGTCCAGCCGCCCACCCCTGGTAGGCCAGCCGCCTGCCTGCAAGCCCAGGCGAGCCCTGGGTGGTGCCACTGTCCATGTGCTGTCCGGAGTGTTGGCCGCTGACCTGCTCCTGCCACCTGCCTGTCCCAGGTGGTACAGAGGATCAAGGCTGTGGAGGGGCAGACTCGGCTGCTGGTGGTAGACAAGGAGACGGACGAGGAGCTCCGCCGGCGACAGCTGACCTGCACCGAGGAGATGGCCCACCGAGGGCTTCCGCCTGCCCACGATCCCTGGGAACCAAAGCCAGACTGGGCACGTGCAGGCAGCCTCGGCTCTGAGGCTGGCCAGAAGGTATGGGGGGCTCTGCCCATAGGGACCACCCTGGCCTCTCCCAGAACCACCGTCTCGGCCTTTCGACAGCAGTCTCTGCCTCTGGTCACCCCGGAACTCTCTGTCTCCATCTCTTCTGCCTCTCGGGGGCCCCTCCTCTGCCCTTGGTGACTACCCCCTTGGCCCCTTGGGGCCACTCTTTCTGCCTTCAGCTTGTGTCCTAAGCCAGGTGGGGTAAGGGCAGCCTGGCCCTGGTCCCTGGCCCTCTTCCCCAGGACATTCATCAGAGCCACCTGGCCTGGGGAGGGTCCCCGTGACAAGCCCTCTCCCCAGCCTAGGTGCTGAGGAACCTGGGGAGGGGCTGCTGGGACATCCTAGGGCTGAGTGTGTCCAGCTCTGTGCCTGGTTGGGTGTCTGTCTGTCTGTGGTTCTGTCCCTGTGTCTGTCTGAGGTGCCTGCTTGTGCTGTGAAGGGCTTGGAGGAGGCTGGCCCTCCTCTGCAGGCAGTACGTGGTTGGGGGCAGCCCAGGAGACTCTAAGCTGGGTCCTCAACAGGGGATCTATAGGGGTTGGGGTGCCTCCCCTTCTCCCTGCCTCCCCTCCAGGCTAGAGGAGCTGGAAAAGAAAGGGGAGGGGGGGCTGTTCCATCACCTTCTAGCTCGCAGGGCCAGAGGTGTGGCCCTAGCTGGGCAGGCCTAGGGGAGTCCAGGAGGAAGGGCTGAGGCTGCTTGCTTTGCCCTCCTGGAAGCCCCATGTTAGTGTCTCTCATGTTCTCTCTCCCTTTTTTTTTTTTGTGAGGAAGATCAGCCCTGAGCTAACATCCATGCCATCGTCCTCTTTTTGCTGAGGAAGACCAGCCCTAAGCTAACATCTATTGCCAATCCTCCTCCTTTTTTTTTCTCTTTTTCTCCCCAAAGCCCCAGTAGATAGTTGTATGTCATAGTTGCACGTCCTTCTAGTTGCTGTATGTGGGACGCCGCCTCAGCATGGCCGGACAAGCGATGCGTTGGTGCGTGCCTGGGATCCGAATCCGGGCCGCCAGCAGCGGAGTGCGCACTTAACCGCTAAGCCACAGGGCCGGCCCATCCCTTTTTTTTTCTTTTAAAGAAAAACCCTGGGATTTAAGCCCAGGGTTCCCCAGATCCCACTTTGAGGACCACTGGCCTAGGGCCGGTCGATGTGTGAGATTTTAAGTTTCTGGGTGTGCGGAGGACCCCGACATTCGCTGTGTTGCTTTTCTTTTTCTTTTTGTTTTTTTTTGTGTGTGTGTGAGGAAGATCAGCCCTGAGCTAACATCTGTTGTCAATCCTCCTCTTTTTGCTGAGGAAGACTGGCCCTGGGCTAACATCCGTGCCCATCTTCCTCCACTTTATATGGGACGCTGCCACAGCATGGCTTGACAAGCAGTGCATCGGTGTGCGCCCGGGATCCGAACCCTGGGCCGCCACAGCGGAGCGTGAGCACCTAACCGCTACTCCACCGGGCCGGGCTCGTGTTGCTTTTCTAAATGTCTCCCGTGTGAGCTGGCCATGCCTGTGACCTGGACCTTGAGGGGCCTGTCTGGGGGAAGATGGCTTCAGGTTGAAGCTTCCGGGTGGGAGCCAGCCTGGGCACAGGCCTGCACGTGAACACATGGGCTGCTTTTTGTCCTTCACGGCTGGAGGGCAGAGAACCGCAGGGGTGGTCAGGGCCATGGTGCCAAGCCCTGGAGTCTAGACTTTGCCTCGGGGCCACAAAAGCCAGAGCAGGGGGTGTTAGGGTCAGATTTGTGATTTCAGGGGGGCCCTGGGATGGTGCACTGGCTAGGCCCCCTCCCCAGCCTGACGACTGGAGTCTCCCTCCTTCCCGGGCATCTCACCCCCAGGAGGAAGCACCCCTCCCCCAGACGTTTGTCCATTGATTTAGACACAAACGGCTGAGTTCACCTTCCTGTGGAAAAATCCACCCTCAGGCCTTATCTGGAGGGTGGGGTAGCTGAGGCACCTTGTCCTTGGGTGGGACCTTCCCCCTCAGCTATTTCAGGCTCTGGGGGCTGCAGGAAGCCCCAGGAGGGGGCTTCCTCTGGGCATATTTTTAGAGGAACAAAGTGGGGCCTGACTGGCAGGTTCCTCTGTGGTTGGGGCTGGCCTGGGACAGGGACCCCAGAAGGTCAGGGGGCGCCCAGAGGACAGGGTCTCCCCTCTCCCTCCCGGCTGATGTTTAATTGGCTGAGCTCAGAGCATGGGGAGGAGGAGCTGGGCCTGGCTAACCTCTAGGAACCAGGCTGTGCTCACCCCCCACCGCCCCGCCCCCGAGCATCCTAGAGCCAGGAGGGTGATGCTTACAGGCAGGGCTGTGCTGTAGTGGGCAGCAGGACAAGAGAACCAGGGCGGGATGGGTGAGGTTTGCTTCAGGGCAGGATGAAGGGGCCCACCCCCAGTGCCCGGTGGGAGGCAAGGATCAAGGCAGGAATCAAGGCCCTGTGGGCCACTCAGGTCCTCAGCCTCATTTTCCTCCAGTCCCTGGGGGTGGGGATGAGGGAGGTGGGGCAGGGGAGGACACTGATGTGGCCGGCCCCACCCTTTGGGGGCTGTTAGGGCCTCGTCAGTAGTGAGTCAGCCCTGGGCCAGACGGGGCTAGGGGTAGCTGCAGCTGCAGTGCAGCTGATCCTGACAGTGATGGGAGGAGGTGGCCCCCAAATGGAGATGGGGCAGCTAGCGGTGCCAGGGCCGTGGTGGCGGTAACAGACCCAGCCCAAGCCCCTACCACAGTTCTGGAGGCCCCTAGGGGCTGAGAGTGAGTGAGGTGACAGAGTCCTGCAGGGGGTGACTGCCTGGTAGAGGAGCCAGTGCCTACAAGAGGGTTCTGGGGCTTCCTGGTTCCTGCCTCCCCTCTGCTCCCAGTGAACCGTAGCAGGCTTGTCTTCTGTTCTGGGGTGGGGTCCCCTCCCGTGCCTCTCTGTCTCCCCAGCCCTGGGAGCAGGTCCTGGGAGCGGAGCAGGGCAGGGCCTCCTGGCAGCTTCCTTCCTTCCTTTCTTGGGACGGAAACTCAGCCGCTGTGGGGCTCCAGGCTGGAGCCTGAGCAGGGGAGGGGGGCTCAGCCACCACCCTGCTCCCCAAAGTGACTCAGCCCCCATATCCCCACCCATCCCTGGGGAGCCTGGGCCTCAGTAGGAAGCGGATAAATGGGGTGGCAGCCTGGGCTGGCTGGAGAGCTCAGGCCACTCCAGCTGGACACTCGCTGCCTGCCACTTCTGTCCTGCCTCCCATGGCCCGCTCTGGGAATGCTGCATCACCTGCCCCGGCCCCAGGAGCCCCTCCACGGAGCCCATCCTGGGGGCTTGTACAGGTCAGGCGGGGTGGGGGGGCAGGGTGGGCAGTGAGGACCCCACGAACTGGCTTAGCCCGTGTCCCCCAGGGTCAGGAGAGGGGACTCTGGGGACCCTGGTGTGAGCAGGCTGGACCGTGAGTAACAATGGGGGCTTTTCTCTGCCAGGGAGCCAGAGCTGGTGAGTCATCATCTGGGGGGCACAGCACAGCTCCCGGGGTACCCCCATACCAGCCTCTTTGTCTAGTCACAGGCACGGCTAGGAGACCAGCGTTTGTCTAGCTCTGGGGCCGCCCAGCTGGGAGCCCGTGGGACCCCGAGGGCCTGGCTGGGAGGCGGCAGGAAGTCCTCTGAGCCAGGGCAGGGAGCAAGGAATGTGAGCAATGCACTGGGCCGAGCGCCCCCTCCCACCCACTGCTTGCCTGCCCTCTCGGCCTCAGCCTCCCTGCTGGGCCACCCCACTGGGTCACCAGCCTTGGCCCCTGCCTTGCAGCCCCTCAGCTTGAGGGCCTAGTGCCAAGATTGGAGCTCCTTGGATCCTGACCTTACGTAATGAGGGATTCAGGCTAGACGTTAGGTGAAACCTCTTGGCTGATGGGGTGAGAGGCAGCTGTGCAGGGTTGAGGCAGGGGGATGGCCAGTATGGTCCCGAACCCGGATGTGACTTCAGCCTGGCCTCATGGCCCCGGATGCCCCCCCAAATCCTGCTTCCCATTTGGGGACCTGGAGAGCCCCCACCCTGGAGGCCACTGTGGAGGGCGTGGAAAGAGGCTGCAGGGCCCAGTGCCACGGGGCTGTCCTTTTGCACATGTGGGTCACCGCGTGTGTCCATGTAGCGTGTCCGTGAGCGTGTTTGGATGTCTGGTCTCTGTGACCACGTGATGTGTCTCTGCCACCTGGTCCCGTGTCCATGTGCCAGGCATGGTCATGTCACACTTCCATGTTTCACGCACGGCCTGCCAGCCTCAGGGCCTGTGCCCTGACAGCCTGTACCTGAGAGGCGCCCTTGGGGTGGGGGGGTGTGGGCCGGCCTCAGGCTGCATACCTGTACCTCCAGGTGTGTCAAGGAGAGGGGATCGTCTATGCAGTGGGCCTCTGGAGAACTTGGGGGTCTCGCACCCCTCAGTTCTGCCCACATTGCCTGGCTGAGCCCCCGGGGGACCAGCAGACCCCCAAGGAACAGCAACCCTGTCCCAGGAGTTCCTGGGGTTATGTGGCCAGATGGTGGCCTGCAGCGGGGGTTCTGAGGGGTTGTCTGGGCAGGCTTTGGGGGTCAGGAAAGCGATCCTGGAGGAGGGGTGCAGGCTGGACAGGAAGACAGTGTTCCCGACAGGTGGGAAGGCCCAGAGCCTGGGGCAACGCACCCGCCCTGCAAGGACAGACACATTTGGTCCCACAGCTGGGCAGCCACTGACTGGCATGTCAGAGCATGCAGTCAGATTTGGGGTTTGGAACGGGCTCGCAGGCCTGGAGGCTGGAGTGGTCAGGGGATGGCCTGGGCTGCAGGGAGACATGGCCTGGGCTGCAGGGAGACAGGTGCCTAAGGCCTGGAGACCTTCCCTGAGGACCGAGGGCCCCTCCCTCAGTGCCACTCCCAGCCCAGCTCAGGGTCCCTCGGCTACATGCAGGGACGTGGAGGGTGAGGGAAGGGCCTTAGTGAGCACACCCACCCCAAACACTCTCACCTGCACACGCACTCGAGCCCTGAGCGTCCGGAGAAACCTGAGCTACTGCCCGCCCACTCACTCCGGCCACCAGCCATGTTTAATTGAGCAGTCGCAGCCGCTGGCCACTCAGCACTGTGGTCACTGCCCCAGGTCCCGCCTGGGTGGGGGTCTTGGGGTTTGGCCCCTGCCTGCACGGCCCCCCGGCCCAGAACCCTACTGCAGGATGCCAGAGGTAAAGTGAGGCAGGGCCCTGGGTTGTCGACGGGAACCATTAGGGCACCATGGGCCTTCCGTGTCCGACCAGGGAGAGTGGGAGGGCAGGCCCTACCCTCGGCCTTCTCCCTTGGCCCCAGCCCCAGCTGGTGCGTCCCCGTGTCTCTCAGCCCTGTGGGGGTGGGGGCGGCTCCAGCTTGCTGTGGAATGTGAAAGCAAACACAGCCGCACTGCCACCAGCCTGGCGGAGGCTACTGGGAGAGAAAACAAAACTGCCAGGGCCTAGGACGCTGACAGCCCCACACTCGGGGCGGGGAATGTCAGGCAGAGCCCACAGGGACAGCCATCCCGGGACCCCACGATGAGTGGCAGCTTATGTTGCCTGGCCTTTCCTAGGACCCTGGTCTGTGCTCAGTGCTGTCTTTGAGCCTGCTGATTCTCCCAACACCCTGTAAGGCCCCTGGTCCCATCAGAAGTTGTTTGTGGTTTGGATACTGAGGCTTTACCCAAGATCCCACAGCTGGAGCTCTGTCACAGGCAGCACAATGGGGCCCCTGGGGCAAGACCACATGGTATTTATTTTTGAGACCTGGGGCCACTGCCAGGCAGGGGCATGATGCCGAGCTGGGGCTCCCAGCGCCCACCTCCACTGCTGCACTCGCATGCTGGAGGCCGGAGGCCTCCGGCTAGTGTCAGTGGCCTATGGGGGTGGGAGATCAGAGCTGGAGCCTAACCCTGAGTCCTCTGTGCCTGCAGGATGTCAATGGGCCACCGAGGGAGCTACGCCCTCGGCTCTGCCACCTGCGAAAGGGCCCCCAGGGCTACGGGTTCAACCTGCACAGTGACAAGACCCGGCCCGGACAGTATATTCGTTCTGTGGACCTGGGCTCGCCTGCCGCCCACTCCGGCCTCCTCGCCCGGGACCGACTCATTGAGGTACCTGTCACTGAGGCTTCGGGGTGCTGGGTGCTCCGTGTGTGTGCCTGTGTCCTTATCCCCTGTGCCTGTGTCCCTGTCCCACGTACCTGTGTCCCTGTCCCACGTACCTGTGTCCCTACCCCTGTGCACGTGTCTGTGTCACTGTCCTCTGTGCCCTTGCCCCTGTGTGTCTGTGACTCTGTCCCCTCTGTGTGCCTGCCCCGTGTCTGTGTCCCTGTCCCGTGTCCCTGTCCCGTGTGTGTCCCTGTCTCTCTGTGCCTCTGTCCCTGATTGTGTGTCCTTGTCTATGTGTCTGTGCCCCTGTCCCCTGTATTTGTTCCCTCTGTGTCTGTGCCCTGTCCCTGTGTGTGTCTGTTCCCTGTGTGTATTTGTCCCCTTGTCCCATGTGTGCATATTTACCTGTCCCGTGTCTCTGTGCCCTTGTCCCCTGTATGTGTGTCCCCCTCTCCCCTGTGTGTCTGTTCCCTGTGTGTGTGACTGTGTCCCTGTCCCTGTGTGTCTGCCCCTGTCCTGTGTGTCTGTGCCCCGTCCCCTGTATATCTGTGTCCCTGTCCCGTGTCCCTGTCCCATGTGTCTGTGTCCTTGTTCCATGTGTTTGTGCCCCTGTCCCGTGTGTCTGTCCCATGTGTGTGTCTGTGTCCCTGTCCCATGTGTCTTGTGTGTCTGGGTCTCTGTCCCATGTGTTTGTGCCCGTCCCGTGTGTCCCTGTCCCCATGTGTGTGTGCGCCCCTGTCCCCTGTGTGTCCGTCCCCATGTGTGTGTCCCTGTCCCCATGTGTCTGTGCCTATGTCCCATGTCTGTGCCCATCCCCATGTGTCTCTGCCCGTGTCCCTTGTGTCTGTGTCACTGTCCTCATGTGTTTGTGTTCCTGTCCATGTGTGTGCCTGTGTCCCCGTGTGTCTGTGCCCGTCTCCCGTGTCTGTGTTCTTGTCCTGTGTGTCTGTGTCCCTGTCCCCGTGTGTGTCTGTACCCCTGTCCGTGTATGTGCCTGTGCCCGTGTCCCTGTATGTGTCTGGGCCCCAGGTCCTCGCTGGGAGGAGGGCGATGCTGGGAACTTGAGCTGACCCTCTTCTTGCTGCCGCGGCTGGTGACAACATTGATAAATATTTGATGCCACACCTGGGCAGGCAGCTTGGGGGGCTAGTGGGGTATGCCCTCAGGCAGTGCTGACCCCATGCTGCTGGTGGCAGGTGAACGGGCAGAATGTGGAGGGGCTGCGCCACGCGGAGGTGGTCGCCAGCATCAAGGCGCGGGAGGACGAGGCCCGGCTGCTGGTGGTCGACCCAGAAACAGATGAGTACTTCAAGCGGCTGCGGGTCACACCCACTGAGGAGCATGTGGAAGGTGGGCTGCTGCTCTGCAGGCCTGGGGCGGGGGGGTGGGGGGGCTGGGCAGCCACTGATACACTGTCCCCACAGGTCCACTGCCATCACCAGTCACCAATGGGACCAGCCCTGCCCAGGTGAGAGGGGGAGAATGGACAGGGTGGGCCCAGGAGACCACAGGGCCTCCTCTGGGGGTCGCAGGCATGACAGAGGCCCCCCGAGATCTCTGTCCCTGTGTGGGCCCAGTCACTTCCAGCTTTAGTGCCCCCTGTGGACCCTGTCCTGGGTCAGCCACACCCCAGCCCCACAGGTGGTGGGCCCCCCTGTTCCCTCTGCCCAGCGCTGCCTGGCTACCTGGACTTGTCCTCAGTCGTCCTCTGGCAGGTGTCCCTGGCTTCGTCCCAGGTGACGCTCATGTGGGTGATTCATACATCAAAACTTCCCCTCCCTGTCATGAGCTGGCCTGGACCGGGCCACCTGCCTGCTCAGTGCTGGGTATCCAGCATCCTGCCCAGGCAGGGCCTGGAGCATAGTGGAGGCTTGGTGCCCACTGCCGAATGGAGAAATAAATGCAGCTCCATTGTGTGTGTGTGTGTGTGTGTGCGTGCGTGTGTGTGCACGTCCGTGTGTATACCAGCGGCTCCTGGGCAGGGCCCCTGAAGCCACACCTTGCCCTTGGTTTCCCAGCTGAATGGTGGCTCAGCGTGTTCGTCCCGAAGCGATCTGCCTGGCTTAGACAAGGACACTGAGGTAGCAAGTGCCCACCCACCTCCACTGCTGTGCTCACACACTGGGGGACCAGAGGCCTTGGGGGTGGGTATTTGTGGAGCTGTCAGCCTGGGCAGTGGGGCCACCACCTCCAGGAAGCCCTCCTGGGCCCACTGCCCCAGCCCCACCAGGTGGCCTCTGGTGTGAGCTCCCTGGGAAGGGTCACCTGTCTGGGGGCTTCAGTCCAGGGCTCACTCTGGCCACCTGCTCACCCTGCCCACCCCTAGGACGGCAGCACCTGGAAGCGAGACCCCTTTCAGGAGAGTGGCCTCCACCTGAGCCCCACGGCAGCCGAGGCCAAGGAGAAGGCCAGAGCCACCCGGGTCAACAAGCGGGCGCCGCAGATGGACTGGAACCGGAAGCGCGAGATCTTCAGCAACTTCTGAGCCCCTCCCTGCCCATTCGCTGGGCCCAGGCCTCCTCCCTGCACGGACCTCGGGCCTCGCTCCTCGGGCCTAGCCCAGAGCTCCCCAAGCCTCAGTGAACTGGAGGGGGTGCATACGCACCCCCAGAAACTGTGGTGGTCCCACCACCACCCAGGAACCAACCCGTGTCCCAGTGAGCCCCCTTCTGCCCCCTTCCTGCTGGGTGCTGGGGGAGTGTGGCAGCAAGATGGGCGAGAAGGAGCCCTTGAAATGTGGGAGAGAGGGAGAGAGGGAGGAGGAGAGGCAGTGGTGACCATGGGGCTGGCCGGCCCTTGCTGCTCTGCCCAGGCCTGCTGACTTAAAGGAATTTGTGTTTTTGCTTTTTTTCCAAAAAGAGCTCCAGCTCCACACATGTTTCCACTTAATACCAGAGCCCCTGCCCCCGCCCCGCTCAGGACGTGCTCTCTGAATAATTGCAATAAAACAAACCTTTCTCCGCAAACCATTTCCTCCCCACGCCCTCAGCAGCAGATATCCCATGAGTCCCAGGGACTTCCAGGGCCAGAGGCGGGGGCGGGCTCCAGACTGCCTTTTTGGGGGCCAGATGTGGCTGTAGGAGCTGCCTCTGCCCCATCCCTGCCCCTCCTGGCGTGGCTGGTCACTAGGTCAGGCCCTCAGGGATCTGGGGTGCAAGGCCTGGTCCCTCCGAGGGACCTGAGGAGGGAGGCCCCATGCCCCTGAAGTGGGCAGCCTCTGGACAGGCCCCAAGTCCCTGTGCAGCAGCCCCCAGGCCTGGGGCGTATGGCTGTGTGAGCCTACCCCCAGGAGGGACCCCAGGCTTCTAGGCTCGGCCCTGCCTGGAACCCCATCCCCAGGAGACCCCAGTGACTCTGCCTTTCCTCTCTGCCCTGAACCCAACTGACATTGCTGTCTGCCCTGTAAGCCATAGCGCATGCGCGCCCTCGGAATAAACAGGCCTTCCTTGGACTCTTGGCCGCCTCTGTCCTTCCTGAGCCCTCAGCTGGGGGTTGCGGGGGCCGTGGTCTGGGCAGGGAGGCAGCAGCCCAGGCAGCCCCTGAATCTCAGCTGCGGGACACCAGGTCTCATTCCTAAGCTTCCCCTCCCCCAATCTACATGCCTGGCAGCCAAGCCCAAATCCCTCTCAGCTCGTGCTCCACCCCCCCCCCACCGCCCCATCCCAGCCCACTTGGGACCCCCGCATCTCGCCTTGCATCTTATCTCGCATCTCAGAGCCCTGCCCTTCTCTCTCTCTGACACACTCTGCGGCCCTTGCCTACCTTCGTTGCTTGGTGAGACCCAGTCCCACCCCCCACCCCCGGCCAGCACCTCCCCAGAGAGGCCTTCTGGGCCCCTGGCACCCCATGGGCTACCCTCTGCCCAGGCGCAGCCCTCAGCAGGTACACACAGGTCAGGCCTTGTGCCCTGTGGCGCTCAGCCTGGGCCTACTGGTGTTTCTTTGGAGGCCAGGTGGCTCTGTAAACACTGGGGGTGGGGCCTCCTGGCAGAGGCAGGGCTCTCAGGGTGCACAAGTTCAGGAGGGGGTGTGTGTGTTTCCGGGTCCCCAGCCAGCTGTCAAGGAGGGAGGAGGCCCAGGCCTCTGGCGTCCCCAGCGGGCTTCCCAGCAGCTGGCTACAGCTGGCTCCCACGATCCATCTCCTTGATCCCAGACTCCTGCACACACGCCCCTGCCCCCAGTACATAGTCCAGATTGTCATGTCCCCATCCTAGCCTCTCAGGCAGCCCCGTTCCAGACACACGTGAGCATGGACACACGCGCAGTTAACATGTGCTTCCCAACCTACCACCACCCCTCGGGGGTAGAAGTCAGCCAGACCCCAACTACAAACAACCCCCAAGCTTTATTATAAACAGGTTGCGGCTCCCCAGCAAAGACACATAGCAGACAGTGGCCAGAGTGGCGTCCGGCCTGAGGCCCCACGGCCCTCAGAGCCCCTGTGCAGCTGGACACAGGGCCCGATTGAGGCAGGCCTGGCAGCGTGGGCGGACAGGCAGACAGGTCTGCTGTCCGAAGCCCACCAACAGTCCGTTGATCTCGCTCCACAGCTCCCTGTGGGGGTGGGAGCCGTCAGTGCAGAGGGAGGGTAGGAGGGGAGCCCTGCCCCGCGCATACCCCACCATAACCCCACCTGGGCAGCCACTCCTCCAGGGCGGTGCGGGTCTCCTCTGGGGACTTGGTCGTCTTCTTGGTCCACCTGAGTCTGTTGGCGATCCTGTGCACGTGTGTGTCCACCGCTGCTCGGAGACAGGGTGGGGTGAACGCGGGGCATGCTCACCAGCCCAGGCCCCTCCAGTCCCTGTCCTCAGCTCCTGCCCACAGCCCTGAGCCCAGGTTGGTGGGGGAGCGAGCCTGGAGCCTGACCAGCCTCCCAAACCCAGGCTTCCTTGGAGGGCCCAGATCTGCACAGTCCTGGCTGCAGTCTGAGAGTGGGTCACCAAGCCACCTCTGCTGCTGGGCAGGGGCTGAAGCCAGAACCCAAGAGGCTGGGCCTCTGGAGTGCAGGGAGCAATGCCTCCTGACCCAGACACTGGCTGTTGGAACCAGGCACGAGGGCACTGCCCACAGAGCCAGCACCTGCCATGGCACCATCAGGCACAGAGTGGGGAGTGCAGCCAGGCCAGCTGCAGCTGTCGTCCACCTGGGCCACAGCCCCTCCTCCCTTTGGCTGGCCACCCCAGGGCTTGGCCTGGGCACCAGCTCACCGAGGCCTCTTTCCCTCTGCCAGCTGCATTCTCTGCCTCCCCCCTGCTCCCCTTCCTGTGTTTGCCACAGAAAGCAAGTCCCTGTACCAGCTTCTTTCACCTGCTGCTAAGTGCCTGGAAAAAGTCTTGGGCCCTCCCCAGATACTGATGGAGGGCACCCTGGGGGCATGGGGAAAACATGCAAGTGGAGGCATCACGCCCTTGGGTCACCAAGCCTCTGTTTCCTCCTCTGTAATGCGGAGGTGACTATGCTCCCTAAGTCACCCAGGGGCCCAGTCTAGGGCCACAGCACACCATGTGAGCCTCCTATGGGCAGGCCCTGGAGGGCTCTGCACACCTGTGCACCTAATGAAGGTGACTGCTTCCCATGCCTTGTGGCCAAAGGTCAGAGAGGCCAAGTGCCTTGCCCAGTCACTCAGCTGGGAGGGCAGAGCTGAGATCAGCTGCTGTACCCTACAGCTCTGGCTTTCTAATCCAGAGGGCTTCTGTTAGGGATGTCCCCGGGGGACGGGACCTACTCATCCTAGGGTCTCCCTGTGGGTGACCAGGCCCACAGACAACCAGTAAGGGTGACATTCCTACACTCCTGCCTGCTGTGTCTGCTGCTCCCAAGCCCTGGCCCCTGTCCGACCGTGGGCAGGGGGCCCCTCCCCTAGACCTGCCAGACCACTCCTGGGACGTGGGCAGCCGAGAACAGCTGCCCAGATAAGCTCAAGTATCTGCTGAGAGACTGGCAGCTGCAGGAGCCCTGGTGTGTGGGGGGGCTCTGCCCTAGCCCCCCACTGACCCTGCTCTGGCTCTTTGGGGCTGCTGCACTCCAGCCTCACTGTGCGGTCAGATCCCTCGACCCCTAGCTGCTCTCCTGCCATGCGCAGTGCTGGGAAGGGGCCCCCACCCCAGGGAGCAGCCTTCCGAAGCCATGAAAGCGCTGAAGGATTCCCACGCCCTCTTCCGCCCCCCTGCAGGAGTCCCAGAGGAGCACTGGGGTCAGGACACACAGAGAAATCATGGGTCAAGCCCTGGTTGGGCCTGCTGCTGTGTGGCCCCAGAACCCCAACTCTCTGGGCAAAGATCTGAGGAAGCTGCCGCACCCGACCACGTCTGCCTCCACGTGGAGGTCTTCTGACGCCAGGACAGCACCTGGTCGCACCTGCACCAGGAAAGGGATTCCAGGAAGGGGCTCCCCCACTCCCTGGCTCTTCCTCCTCATTGCCCAGCCCCTTCCTCCTCCCCTGCTGGGTCCCTCTGCCCTCACCATGCCTCCCCAGTCTGCCCACGCTTATTCCAGAGCCTCCTGCCTCTGATTCTCTCCCACTTCATGGCTTTGTAGATGCTGTTCCTTCTGCCTGGAACGTACCTCCTCTTCTTGGCCTGGCCGGCCCCGTCTCACCCTTCAGTTCTCAGCTGAATTACCCCCTCTTCAGGTAGTCTTCCCAAATGTCCCAGACCAAGCTGGCCCCCACAGTGCCCTGCATGCCCCCCTCAGTGTTTCTACCCCACTGGTAAGGAATTATTTGTTTGACATGTCTCCCGCACACACAGCCCAGGCCTCGAGCCCACCGCAGGGGCCTCTCACAGAGCCCAGCACACGGTAGGTAGGCGGTCAGCAAACAGGACCTCCTCCTATTATTCCCATCTCTGGGCGGGGCGGGGTGGGCCTAGCTCAGCGTTGGGAACACCTTCTGACCCTCTGAATCGTGGATAAGCAGACCTGAGCTGGGGTCACAGATCACCAGGGTGTGGGGAACCCCAACAGCAGCCAGCAAGCCCAGAGCTGCCGCCTTCCCTGTGGGTGCCGCTCACCAATGCCGGACACAGTGCCCCAGGCCACGGCCATGGCCAAGTGTGCCATCTTGGGCCCGACGCCTGGCAGTGCCACCAGCTCTGTCACGGAGGCTGGAATGTCCCCACCATAGCGCTGCTGCAGAATGGCACTGGTCTGCTTGATGTACTTCACCTTGTTCTGAAAGGTGGGGGTGGAAGTCAGCCTGGAGGTGGGTGTGTAGCCTGACCTGGGAAGATGAGGCCTGAGGGAGGGCCACAGATGCCCAGAGCTGCCTGTCACCTGCCCAGGACACACTCAGAGGCACCTGCTTGCCTGTCCCCCCAGGAAGTGGGAATGAGCCAAAGGCAGCAGGGAGCCCAAGGGAAGCCCAATGCAGGCCTGGACCCCTGCCTCCCACCCATCTGGGCCAATGACATGTGTGAGGTTTGGCTCAGACCCCTGTCCCCTCATTTCCCCCAGAGGCCAGGCAGGCTAAGCTGGCCAGCTATGTCAAGAGCTGGGCTCTGCAGCACCTGGGTCTTCAGAAAGGAAGGCTGGAGCCTGGGGCTCCCCCGCCAGCCGCCAGGCCAGCCGGGCGGTTCCCATCCTGTGCCTGAGCAAAGAGAACTATTTAAAACCCATTTGATAAACTGTAGCCCATGCCACTGCCAAGGGGAAGCAGCCCCACCCGATACCCAGTGCTCTGTGGCCTGTTGGGGCTGGGGGGGGGGGGTGTGGTGGAAGGGGGGAGATGCCCTCCAGGGAGGCGTGGAGTAAATAAAGGGAAAGGAGGTGGGCAGGCAGCCTCCCCGAGGAAGGGAAGGGCCAGGCGGCTGGGCGGGGAGGTGGAGGAAGGAAGGGGCGGATTGCAAACAGGAAAGGCCAAGGGGCTCCAGGGCCTGGACTCAAGGCCCCATGGCCAGGCCCCCTGTAGGCTTGTGAGAGTGGCAGGGGGCTCCAGTGGGAACTCACATTCCAGCCCCCGTAGCCAGAGGTGCCTGACCCACTGTCCCACAGCACCATAGCCTCCTGACGTCTTTCCCAGGCTAGTGGCACCCCTGGCCCGGTTGCCTCAGGCTGGGCTCACCCTCCAGAAGCCCACGGGGTAGATGAGCGTGCCCAGCGTACTGTCATCTGTCTGCAGGATGCTGTCCACCGTCAGGCCCCAGGCCCTCAGCCGCTGCATGGCGCCCGCTGTCACCTGGTCTTTGGTCTGGCTGGAGAGCATTAGCGACAGCAGAACCTGATACCTCCGCACCTGCTTGCACAGTGACAGGGACCAGAGTAGTGGCAGGTCCTGGGTGCGACTGTGGGCCAGGCCCCAGCCAAGCCCTTTACCCACATCTGCTTGTTACCCTGGGCAACGTATGGGACATCAGCCTCCTACCCACCCTGGCCAATGGGGTGTGGGTGGGGTCTGGCCTGGGCCTGTTTCCTCATCTATAGGATGGGGACAGGAACAGTAACTGTCTCACAGGATCACTGTGAGGCTTAAATGCGTTATCACAGCACTTAGAACCATACCTGGCACAATGTCAGTGCTCAGTAGCCACTGGCGACCACTGCTATTGTTATTGCTTTGTGAAAACTACTACCCATTTCACAGACAAGCAAACTGAGGCCTCAAGAAGTATGTACCCAAGTCTCCATTAGCAGAGTTGGGATAAGAATCACATTGTTCTAAGGACCAGGCTCCAGACCAATGAAGTGTAAGAAACTCTCTCTCTTGCAGCAAACATTACTGAATGCCCTGATGTGCCAGCACTGTGCTAGCAAAAAGCAGAGCTTGAGTACCAAGCCACAGGTACCCCTCACCTGCTGAGTGGCACAATGAAAAAGGTGATGCTGCCCAGTGCTCTGGGCCCCAGGGGTGTGTCCTCTCAAGGTGCTGTCTGTAGGGGAGGGTGCCAGCCAAGAGCCACCAGGTGTTAGGCTGTCCCCTGCCAGAGGCCTGAAGGGAAGCAAGTGTCTCGTTCAGAAGGGGGTCACTAGGCAGATGGGGCCCCTGCCTACCTTTGGGGGTGCACTGGGGTCATAGCAGTGCTCCACCCCCAGCTGGTCCACAGGCGCGTCCTTCCCACTCCTCATGGTGCGGATGTTCACCAGCTGCTGCTGCCAGTCCTGGGGCTCCCAGCCTGGTGCCTTGAGGGGCTCAGTGTCCTCTCCTTTCTCACCATCTGAGGCCTCGTAGGCCACATTCACTCTCTGTGATTTCTGCTGACACTTCACACGACTGTGGCTTTTCCTTCCTTCTGCAAAAAGTGCCACCGGGTCCCTTCAGCAGGGGCCACAGGTGAGGGTGGGGTGTGGTTACTGCCCTACCAGCTATCTCACCCCTCAGCATTCATTCAACAACCATCCAACATCTACTACAGCTGGGGGTGCTCTGTCCTCTACAGCATACACTCTGGGGCAGGTCAGCCTTCTTCATGCCTCTGCCCTCGTGACCAAGTCTGCATCAGCACAGCAGGACTCTAGTAACAGCCTCCATTGCGATGCCCCCCAATCTAGTCTCCACACTGTCAGACAGAACTTGCTAAGACCCAAAACGGACTGTGTCACTTTCAGTTTAAAACTCCTTGTTGTTTTTTCCTTGTACTCATGATAAACTGCAAACTCCATCTTGGCATCAAAGCTCCTGCCTACCTGTCTGGCATTGTCACCTGCTTGTTCCCTCCATCCGTTCCTCCTGCCACGCTTCTGCCCCAGTGGATCTCCCTGTCTGGACTACCCCTGGAGTTCCTGGGTGCCTGTGGGAATCCTCCTCTGGCCAACTCTGCAGGACAAGGGAGAGGACTTCTGGCTAGGGGTGTCCTCAGCACCCGACCTCTCTGAGAGGGAAGCAGCTACGAGAACAGGGCCGGTCTGCCCCACAGACAGCCTGGCACAAGCAGAGTATCGCAGGGCAAGCTAGTGGGACGAAGAGAACTTTCTTGTTCAAGACGACAGTGGAGAGGTGGGAGCGCCCGCAACCCAGCTCCTGTGGACCCCTACCCCTGCGTCCTGGGGACAGGGCACAGGGTGGGAACCCAGGGCCGCACGTGGGGCCGGGGAACTCGCTCGCGACTGTCGGGTCCGCCGCGTTCTTGCAGGCCCTTACAGGTCCTTGCAAACCCCTTCCCCCGCCTCTCCTCCCGTCCCAGCCCAGGCGTGGCGCTACCTGCAGACGCCTCTCCCCTCTGGAGCGGCGCGGCCTCCTCCCCACCCCGCCGCGGCCGGGCCCTAGATCCCTGGCTCCGGCTGCGGGTCACCATTCTCACGCCTGCGGCGTTCATGCCGGACTCCTGCGGACTACACATCCCGGCGGCCCCCGCGGTCCCGTCACGTGACTCGACGATCGCGCAGTCTTTCCGCCAGAGGGCGGCCCAGAACTACGACTCCCAGCAAGCCCTGCGGCGGCCCTTGGCGTCATCTCGCTGCCGGACGTGCGGGTTGCGCTTCCGGCGGGGGCTAGGGGTTGGGGGTGTGCAACCTTCTGTGTGGCGGGACGGCCCGGGCGGCGGGCGTCGCGGGGGTGAGTTGCTCGCTGTTTCTCGATCGCTGGGCCGGCCGGGACCGTGGTGTGGCCCGCTCCCGACGGGGCAGGGGAGCGGCGGCCGCGCCAGGCCTGCTCGGCGCTGAGGCGGCGGGGTCGGTCCCCGCAGTGTTCGGGCCCCTGCCCTCGGCCACGCCCACCGCTGCCTGACCCTGGAGCTCCGAGCGCTCCTTGGTTTTAAGTCATGATGGAGGCGAGGGGTCCCTGCTTCCTGCGTCCCCCGACAGTCCTCCTCCACGTGGGGAGAAAAGAGATGCAAATGTCGGGGCTCCCTTGGCCCGCGGCGGCCGTCCTACCCCCGGTCCGCTCCCTCACCCTCAAGCACCGAGTCGGCGGCGCGCCGCTCGGCCTGGCGTTTCCCAGGCTTGTTTGTGGCCGGGCCCGCCTGGCTACGGTTGAGTGCTCCCTAGGAGCTGTGGGAGGAAGGGGCGTTCCCGGCAGAGACTTGGGGTCCCGGCGGCTGGAGGTCCGCAGCGGGGCTGGTGGGTGGAGCTGTTCGTGAGGGCGCTGCCCGTTTCCTCGGAACAGAGGGTCCTCCGGGCGCCCTGCCCACCATGGCCAAGGCAGCAAGCAAAGATTCAGGCTTGAAGGAGAAGTTCAAGATTCTGCTGGGATTGGGAACTCCAAGGCCAAACCCCAGGTCTGCAGAGGGCAAACAGACAGAGTTCGTCATCACGGCGGAAATCCTGCGAGTGAGTGAGCTGCCAGTGGGCAGTGCAGGGAAGGCTGGGTTTGGTTTGTCACCAGGTCTGTGGGAGATGGGCTGCTGCCCCCAGGACTCTGGAGACATACATTTGCTTCCCCTGGAGATCCAGGAAGTTAGGATCTTGGTGACTTCGTCCAGCACACTTGAGGGAGCGTTCAGATGTCAATGCAAGGAAACCTATTTTACTAGATGTTTCCACAGGTGATAGGGCTTATGGCCAGGTGTCAACTGGTAATTTGAGAGTTCCTGGGAGAAGTGGGGCTTGATTGTCTTGTGTATGTTTGAATCCCTTTACCACAGGCCTGGCACCGTGTTTTGCCTGTAAATAAATGTTGAATTTTTGCACTTGTAGTTTTCCGTTCAGAAACAACAAAAACGTTCATCAGCTGGTGAATGTATAAACAAAATGCGATACATCCCTACAATGAAATATGATTTGGCAAAGAAAGGAATGCAGTACTGATAAATGCTACAACATGGATGAACCCTGAAAAGATTATGCTAAGTGAAAGAAGCCGGTCACAAAGGCCCACATAATGTATCATCCCATTTATATGAAATGTCCAGGATAGGCAAATCTGTAGAGACAGAAAGTAGATTAGCATTTGCCAGGGCCTGGGGGGAGGAGGAGATGGAGAGTGACTGCTAATGGGTATGAAGTTTCCTTTTTAGGTCATGAAAATATTCTGGAATTAGTGAAGGTGGTTGCAAGCATTGCAAATATACTAAAAACTGAATTGTATAGCTTAATATTGTTAAAATGGTGAATTTTATCTCAATAAAAAAAATGCAGTAATGAAAAAACAAGTTGTCTGTCCTCACTCCACTGAGATGGAGTAGTAGACTCTGGTGCTCCCTGATTTCAGAAGGATCTGCTGCAAGTCTCCAGTGTGGGAGTGTGGTACAGTTCTTAAGGTGGCCCGTGACTGGCAGTTAAGGAGATCTGTTGCGTGAACGCTGGCCCCTTGTTCTTTCATCTCTCTGCAGGAACTGAGTGTTGAATGTGGCCTCAACAATCGTATCCGGGTGATAGGGCAAATCTGTGAAGTCGCAAAAACGAAGAAATTTGAAGAGGTAGGTCTGTCTCAGTCAGGCTGCTAGAGAGATGAGTGTGAGCTGTTTAGAAGCCTGATTTGGCTCTTTCTAGGAGCAGGGTTGACAGCTAACTTTGACAATGAACTGATACACGCAATTTTAGGAAATTTAACTTTCATCTTAGTGATGAGGAAGCTTCTGGAAATGCCCTGAGCACAACCCTGAGGGACCAATTGTGTGGAGATGGGAAGCAAAGAGATTAAGGCTTTTCTCGCAGATCCAAGAAAGGGTGTGTAGAGGAAGGCTTAGAGGAACACATGCTTGCTTGTCTTCTCATATTACAGATTCAGGGGCAGGGAGAACACAGGAACTTGAGGGCGAGTGTGGTTTCACAAAGACCAGTTCTAGGCACACCAGTCTCAGTGTCTTTTTGGGAGACGTGTGTGGTTGGTGGTGTCGAGCAGCCTCCCAACGTAGGCAAATTTATTTCAGCCAAATATTTCCGGGCTCTCTACAGATGTCTTGTGGACACAGTGGGAAGTTGTCATTAGAACACGTCAAGGGATGCCGGCACAGTGGCATGGTGGTTAAGTTCACGCATTCCGCTTGGGTGGCCCGTGGTTCGCTGGTTTGGATCCTGGGCGTGGGCCTACTCACCACTCAACAAGCCATGCTGAGGTGGCGTCCCATATAGAAGAACTAGAAGGACCTACAACTAGGATATACAACTATGTACTGGGACTTTGGGGAGGGAAAAAAAGAGAAAAGAGGAAGATTGGCAATAGATGTTAGTGTAGGGCCAATCTTCTTCTTCTTCAAAAAAAAAACACTTCAACGGCTTTGCTCCAGCCTTGTCCTGCGTTTGCGTGTGTGAATTGGAAGGAGACATGGACCTCACACTCAGCAGATTCAGATCTGCTAAGGGGGAGAGTGACCACTACATCTTCAGCAGGTCATCTGAAACATGCAAGCTGCACATTACCAAGAATAAATGTGAAAATAGGCATCTGCGTTCATAAAGTTGCCTGTGTGGTATGGAAAGGGGAGCTGCAGCTGAGTTGCTGTCATATGAATAGACGGATAGGTCTCTAAGGTTAGGGTAGTCACTAGGTTCAGTGTCTGTGTGTTGTTGCCGCTCAAGTAGCATCAATAGTAGTATTGGGAATGGGACGAAGGAGGTAAAAGTTCCAGTGTGTCCTGAGTTCGTCACAAAGTTGATCAGACAACATCTAAAGATGTTTTAGTCTCCATCCTAAGAGGAGTGAACCCAGGAAAAGGTGAGTGGTCTGAAAATCTTGATTGAAGGGAGTCTGGAGTTGTTAACGTGGAGAAGGGACGGTGACATGAGAGAGTGATTCTGGGAAGGTGTGGGGAACAGGACCTAGCTCCCCCATGGGCTAGGTGGGACGTAGAGGAAGCAGATTCCAGAAGCCCGTATGGAGTTCTTGGCAGGTCAAGCCGGGCAGCAGAGGCAGGGCAGGGGTGTGGTCCTGCAGCTGTGCTGGTGTGTTTACACAGAAGAAAGCCAGGGGCAAGATTTCTGGGTCAGGCTGCAGGCCTAGGGCCCGCCGTGGCACTTCTGGTCCTGAGACTCTTCCAGTGACTTTCCCCACGAGAGTCTGAGCAGGCTCTCAGTAGGACTTCCTGCCGATCTCGGGGGGCAGTCAGAACAGCTCCCCTGGCCTGCCTGCTCTCCTCCTTCCCCACAGCCTGTGGCCTGCTGAGGGTTAAAGGGACCTGTGAGGGTTTGAAGGAGCTTGGAGCTGTTCCCCTTGTCGCCATGGGCTGTGACAGGTACACGAGATGTGGGCTTTCGAGGAATGAGTTCTAAGTTAAAAGACCCCATTGTTCTGCTCTGTCCTTTGCTCACGGTACTGTCCCTTGAGTTGAGGGGGCCAGCACACCCTATTCGCTGTCTCGTCTTTCTTGGTGGCAGCATGCAGTGGAAGCACTCTGGAAGGCTGTTGCAGACCTGCTGCAGCCCGAGCGGCCACCTGAGGCCCGGCATGCAGTGCTGGCTCTGCTGAAGGCCATCGTGCAGGGGCAGGTAAGGGGCAGCGGGTCTGCGCCCAGGAGGAGCTGGGATGTGTGTGTGGCGTGATGTTGGGCCCCCCACTGACTGCTCCTGCTGTGCCACGCTTGTACTCTTACCTTTGGTGAGGCCGTTGGGCACAGGGTCTGCTTGTTACCAGGGGCTCTGCAGCTAGACTGGCTGAGTGGGCATCCCGGCCTCCCCTCTGCTATCCGTATGACCTTGGGCAAGTCACTGGAGCCCGCTGAGCCTCCTCTCCTGTAAAATGGGGATGCTCATTGTTACTTCCTCTTCTGGGATGTTTTAGGGAGTAAATGATGTAATTCGTGCAAAATGATGAGAACACCATACTCACTCATTCATGAGTGAGCAGTGTTGTCTTGCTGCCGCTAACCTTATCCCCCTTGCCCTGGGCCACTGCCCCTTGCTCACCGTGCTCCCGCCATGCTGGTCTCTGCTCTTCCTGGTGTGCCCAGGCCACCTCTCACCATTCCTGCCTGGAAAGCCCCCTCCCTGCTTTGCCCATTTCGTCTACTCCTTCACTTGGAGAGACCCCGGCCACTCAGTGTGGTTAGACCGTGGTCGTCATTATGTGAGCACAAATGTGTGTATCCTGGGCTGTGAGCCTCTGGAGGGCCAGAACTGCATTGTCCCCTGCTGTGGGCCCACCACCGTGCCCAGAGTTGGACACAGGGTAGGTGCTGCAAACACACTGGTCACCTGATGAGCCCTGAGCCGCTCTGATGTTCTCAATTCGTCCCTCATGGACTGTTCTGTGGGAAGGAGAAAGGGCCCAGGGTTGAGAGTCTTGGAGTCCACTGCACTTCTTGGGTTTCTTAGAGCCACTCCAGAAACCTAGGTGGTCGGGGGGTCCTGGAGGGACTGCTGACCCTGTGGTTTTGTCCTCAGGGTGACCGGTTGGGCATTCTCAGGGCCCTCTTCTTTAAAGTCATCAAGGATTACCCCTCTAATGAAGACCTCCACGAAAGACTGGAAGTTTTCAAGGC